CAGCCAGACAAGGTGGAACAGCCATGGGCACAGGGAAGGATGGAGGATTCCCGGTGTCTGCACAGGAGGAGCCACAGCCACCCCAGCTCCACTCCCTCTCTGAGGCTCCCACCCAACAGTGGGGAAGGATTGGGGTGGTGGCTCCAAGGAGACCTGGCAGCAGGGGTTAGCATCTAGCTGGGTTTTGGATCTCTACTGGGCTGGGGACTGCCAGGTCAGGGTCCAGGACCAGAGCTGCCCTGACTCACTGAGGGGGACAGGCTGTGGGGCACATGGCAGCTAGGGATGAGACAGGAACCAGATGTCCCTCATCTGCTCTTCAGCATGGGCTGTACTTTTCTACCCACACCAGACAGGTCTCAGAGCACACAAACATCTCTACACCATTGAGGAGATACATCTTTGCTGTGTGGGATGGATCAAGACTGGCCAAAAGCCCCCAGCTTCCCCAGCCTGCTCCCAAGGCATCTGCTCCCCCAGGACACCTCACACCCTGAGCCAGGTGGCAATTTCTCTGCCAGAGGAACAGCTCTTCATGTCTATTTTCAACAGCAACACCCCAAAAGTACTTCTGTGTTTATGATCTTCAGGAGTTGTGCCTGGAAGGCAGTTTCACTCATCAGACTCTTAAGTAGATGCCAATTATTTGCCCAGATGTAAACTGTACCATTAACCCCAGCCCGTGTCTAGTTTGGAGTACAAGTCCTGTGTTCCCCACGGGCAGGTTCTTCACCAAGCCCTCAAGGTGCTCCAGATTTCCCAAAAGTCATCAAGATGCAACAGGAAGAGTTTCAGGTGAGGCTAATTGAAAGCTGCAGCTGGTGCAGGACAAGCTTGAGTTGATGAAACAGGTTCTAACCTACTACAGGCAGGAGGTCAGGACTGGAAATACATCTAATGGTCCATACCCAGTCCAGTTGCCCATAGGGCATGGGCTCAGCCCCACTGGTTACACAGGTTGTGACCTTTGGTAGCACAGCTCCACCGGTGCGTTGCATTTCAGACCAACCACATGGAAGCTGATCTCAGTTCACCTTGTTGTTCAGCCACACCCAGGACTCCACTGTGCCAGCTGAGGCCCAACCACGGCAGTGTGCTTGGGAAGGGCTGCCCTTCATCAAAGTGGTCACCCGTACACATCGGCACAGCCTAAGATCTTCCAGGTTCATACGAGGCACCTCGCAGCTCTCCTGAGGCTCCGTTTAGGAGCTACCTGGGCTATCTTCAGTGGTCAGCAGGCAGAGAGCTCACCCCAGAACAGCTTCAGCCATTCGCCTCCATGGTCTCCAGGACCAGCGTGATGGGCAGTCCAACCAGGATTCAATTCTTCCATGAGATATGGGTCACAACTGCAGGCAAGGGGCAGCACAAGCAGAACTTCTGCTCCACAGGTAAAGCTGAACTTGTGACCTGTGTAGCTCTAGGTGAGGGATCCAGTATTGTGAGACCATGCCTGAAGGCACACAATGGCCATGTGTTCTTCACCTCCAATCCTATAGCATCAGTCCCCCATTAAGCCTGGCTCTGGTCACCAGGCAGTGGTGGAGATCATCTTCTCACGAGAGGCAGGTGGGACTCCCCAGGTCCCAGCAGGCAGCCCCTAGCACAGAGCCTGCTCACCAGAGAGACCGTTTTTAAGATCCTTGGAGGTGCCTTCAACCGGCATGACTACTGCAAGTCCTCTCCTGATGAGGGAGACCTGCTGCTCCTGATCCCCATCCCAAGGAATCGTCCAGGTGAGCAATCCCTGCAGCATGTTTGGATTCACCCAGAAGGCTCTGGGTGGCATCAGGTACCAAACGAGAAGAAGAGCCACCTTCAAGCCTGCATCCCCCCTTAGATCTTAGAGGCAGGAGGCTCTTTTGGAGGACCATCCCTCCTCCACTCTCAGACAGACTCAAACACAGGGAGAGAACCAGCACTGAGGCCTTTATAGCTCTCGGGGGGGTGTGGCTGCCCCTGATTGGCTGGGAGAGGGGACAGGTGGCAGCTCTGGATTGGCTCAGAGCAGCCCCCCTGGCCCTGCCATTGGCGAGCTGCTGCTGCACAGGGTGAGGTGGCAGCTGGGCCAGGTGGCAGCACGTGGTTGGCTGGGGAAAGCGCCAGGTGGCAGAACACCATTGGTCAGGCCTGGGTGCTGCTCGACTGTGATTGGTGGAGACAGGACAACGGAGGGAGTGAGGTGGGGGAGGGGGGCATGGAGGGACAGCTGGCGGCATGGGATTGGCTGGTAGGCTGTGCTGCTGCTTGGGGATTGGCTGGGGCAGGCTGGCTGGGCAGTGGGGCTGGGGAGGGGTAGCCCATGCACTGAGCTGTGCCCAGTCTCAGCCCACAGCACGGGGACCAGCCTGTCCCTTCCCTGCTCTGCGGCCGGGGCAGCGCCTGCCCTCTCTGCACCCAAGACACAGGAGCCCATCCAGGGTGGCGGGGGCTGCCAGACCCCCCGGGACCCAGCCACGAGGGGGCAAAGACGGGGGGCAGAAACACTGGGGCCACCCCGCGCACCTGGAGGTGAGGGAGAGGCCAAGCCCTGCTCCCTCCCCAGCGGCCATGGGGCTCACAGCAGCCTGACGAGGACCAGGAGCTGTGGGGCTGGGGGCTCCTCCAGCCTGCCCTCTCCTCACCCCTTTGCCAGCCCGTCCAGCTGGGAGCAGCCTCCAGTTTGACCCCACACCCCCCATCCCAATCTGGGGAGGAACCCGCTACCCCAACCTCCAGGTTTTGGGGGGCTGCAGGCAGTAGGACAGGCCCTGCTCTGCAATGGGGGACACTAAAGACGCTGCACCCCCAAAATCCTCCCCCCATGGCTACAAAGTTGGGCCCTGGGGGCCTCACGCCAGCAGCACCTGCAGGGTCCCCACTCCCTGGTGACACACGGAACCTGCTCTCACCAGCTCCTCAGCGGCTGAAACTTATTTGAATTAATTTGCCTCGCAAATCTGCGAGCACCAGCTGGGATCGCACGTCCTCGGAGGCCACGGTGACACACGAGCCACGTGTGGGGACACGGGGACACCTCCCGATGCTGCACGACACAGCACCACCCAGCAGCAGCTCGGTGACAGTCGGTAGCAGGACAGTGAAAGTCGGTGGCAGGATGTCACCACTCCTGTGTTGTCACCTCCCATCGGGGACACGAGAACACCGCTAATCAAATCCCAGCGCTGGCCTCCAGCCCCACGGGGAGCACCCTGGCACCCGACGGGCAGGGCTGGGTACAGCCTGCGAATAGAGGCACTAAATCTGATAAGCTATCAGCCAGCACCACGATTAGGTGGATAATTAAGGACAAGGAGCCAGTTTTGAGCCTATTTGCCACCGGTGTAAGTACAAAGTGAACGACCTGGCCGCTCCTGGGGATCAGGAGAAGTGGTGAAGCTCACAGCCAGCACTCTAAACGCACTATGGTTCTCTTTTTTTTCAAAAAAAAGTCACCCCCTCAGCATCTCAGTGCTAACTGCTGGGATTGCAGGGCGAGAGGAGGGAACGAGAGCAGCTGGCAAGGCTCCGGCACAGCCTGGGTCAGCGGGGAAATGGGTTCAAGAGGCACAGACACACGGCAGGTTCCTGCAAGCGATCTCCACACACCTGGCAGAGCTATTCTGAGCTCCAACACCCTAGAGGAAGGAGGAAAAATTAGTGGGAGGAAGGTTAGCAGCAAAGCAGCAGAGGTCCAGGCTAAGTTACAGCATTTTTGGTTTGGTTAAAGCAGACAGACAAACCCCAGCCTGGCTCTTGGGTCCCACCACCACTAACTCGGCACCCCAGAAACTGCTGGGTGGCCAGTGCAGGCTGGAGCATCCCTTAGGGACCAGCTCCGAGTGAATTCCATCCCCAGGGAACTGTCTCCTCCAGCATACACATCCCACCCCACTGCCATAAACAAGCCCTGTTGGAAGGGGAGGCATTTGCACAGCCCCACAACCTGTGGGTCACCCACCCACACCAGGCATCGCAGGGAAGGGGTTTGGGAAGGGGTTTCTCATCCCAAACCACGAAAACACAGCAGAGGGGGGCAGCTGAGCACGCCATGCCCCCACACCCCAGCTCACTTCCTTTCTCCCTCTATCTCCAAGGGTTTCCCAGTCTAACCAGTCCCACCAGGGAGCAGCTGGAGGAACCAGAGGCCATGCTGGAGCAGAGACATGACAACAGGCCACCTTTGCCTGCCCTGACAAAAGTAGCAGGGCGTGACACAGCCCCCAGACCCCCTAACCCCCCCCAAATCAACACCCTCTGCCCCCTTACCCTCTCTCCAACTCTATTCCCAGCCCAAAGTCCAAAGCAAAGAAAGGAAGGAGAGGAAAAAGGGGAAGAAAGAAATAAAGAGAAAAAAAAAAGAAAAACTAAAACAAATGAAAACTAAAACAAAAAGCAGCAGTTGGGAGGCAGCCTTGTTAGGACAACTCAGCAAAATAAAATTCCGGTTTATTGTTGGACAACATTGTTTCACACATACATCAAACAGGCCAAAAAAAAAGAAAAAATAAAAATAAACAGCAACTTCATAGACAGAAAAAAAAAAAAAGAAAACCTTTTTATCTTTGGCCTTGCCACCTCATACAAACCACGATCTATGGTACAGCTAAAGTACATACACAAAAAAAGTTACTGGAATGCTCAGAATAAGATTGTAAATTTTTTTTTTTTTGCATTTTTGTCTTTTTTTTTTTAATTTTTTTACAAGGTTTTGTTTTATTCTCCTTTGAGATAATGGTTTGGGCCTGGTCACACCACAAGTAAAGTCAGAGATAGGTAACAAGAGAGATATACACTTCAAAGCCCCCCTTTTGGTCAATCCGAGATCACTTAAAAATGGCGGACCTCCTAACAATATGTACAAAAATATAAAATGTAAATAAAAAATACAAACAAATTCTCCTTTAAAGTACTTTTAAGAAAGAAAGCAGGGCCTTGAAGTTTTGGTGCTTGGGGGGGAGGGGGTCTGTGTGGGG